TCTCTGTATCGCTCCCTCCAGTGTTCATGTATATCACTTTGCTGCAGGAAGGAAAGGAGCAAAGCACAAGCAGGGATATTTTCTGCATTCCAGTTCCTATTTCCTCAGTACTATGCCACCTTCTCATCTTTTCCCACGTCTCTCTACCCCCTGGCCAAATGAAAGACTTGGGAGCAGGATTGCTAACTGCCTGGAAAGGGAAAATAATGTCCTGTCACTTTAATAGAAGCCCAGTGGGATTAGATTTACAAGGAAATGTTGTTTTCCTCCACACTGTGAAAAGTTTCACCTGCCATAAAGGGATAGGACATTTTTCTCCAGACCTGTTGGCAACCTTGCTTGGGAGAGATACATGATTTTCTTTTGCTCTGATCATGATTTATTATTGAGACATGTTTGATGCATTGTTTTACAAATTCTGGTTTATAGAAAACATTTTAAGAACTGGGAATCTTTGGTGCTGTATTAAAGTAACATAGCAACTACGCTTAATTACTAACTGAAAATGAAGAAAAGTAAGGGAATTTGTTAAGGTTTATGTAGGTGTAATATTCTCAGTCTCTTAACTGTGGTTAAGAGATCAGCAGTGGGCTGCAGGATAGCATATTTACCATCCTCTGCAACCCTGGGCTCTGTGCTTTCTGGGGGAAGCTGCCAGTCTCCTGGGCAGCTGCATCTTGAGGCTGAAAGCCAGTCATGTGCTTTCAGCCCTGAGCCATCACTTAGCACCTTGAGTGGCAAAGTTTGTGTAGGGCCCACTGCTCAGATTATCAGTGTTGGTTTGTAGTTGAAAGTGCATACAATGCCAAGTGATTAGTGGCAACAAGACCTGTAAGGCCAAGTGATTGTTCTGAATTCTTCAGTTCCCTGGGAACAGTTCTGTTAGTGAGAGTCCTGTATTTCTCCAGGTGCAGCAGCTGGTATTGTACTAGAATCTGTTCCTGAAGTTCCCCTGAATCTTCAGGGCTACGTGTTAATTAGCATGATGGCAGTTCTTGGAAAGCAGGGAGTACTTCAGATCCCATTACACTGGAAGTGTGGGGAAAGACTTTTTGTTTGACATATTGGAATTTATTTTTTGTTCCTAAAAATACTTTGGAGACCAAAGCAGTACTATGTTAATAACTTCTTTCTCTTCTGCAGGAATATTTTGTGGCTCTGCGGCTTGTAGCCTGTGCACAGAATGGGTTGGATGTTTCATTGAGTAGTCTTAACCTACCCGTTTCTCCGCCTAGATTTGTAAGGCTCTTTTAAAAACAATTTGTATAGTCAGAATTTAAGTTCGAAAAAGGCTTGTCACTAAATTATGTAATATCTAGTGAGTACAGAGTTCTCATTTGCAACGGTGTTCATTTTTATGTGTACATTCGGAGGGGCCTTAATTGTTTGGAGGTGCCTTAATTATTTGGAGATGAAGGTAAGATTTTAGTTCATGGTAAACTTTACGTCCATTATAGCGTGATGTCATTGATTCCTTAAGAGAAGCAATAAGGTGCTAATTAAAGTGTGGATAGTAGTATAAGGAAGTCAGCATGCTGTCTTCTTTTACACTGACATTTCCCAAAATCTGATATCTGAGGAACATTATTGAATTACAATTGGAGCTGTACTACATTAACCCAAAAGAATTAATTATTACTGTTTTGCACTCTTTATGTAGCTGGCCTTAGTCTACTGCTTCTGTTCCTTCATGGATTTGTTTCTTTCTTTTTAGCTTGGTTTTACCCTGCTTTCTCTGACAACTTTTTCCTCATGAGTGCTTTGAGTGCTTGTGATGGTAATGCATATGTGGAAACTCCCTTTCCACAAAAAGCTTACCAAGGGTGGTGGCAATGGCAGGGAGCTCAGGGTGGTGGGGCTTATGCAGGCCTCATTTCAAAGATTTGGGTACCTCTGCATTAGTGGTAACTGCCTTGTGGGAAATGAAGTTCCTAGTGGGTTGAGGCTCAATCTGTTAAACTGACTGGATTTTGGAAAGGGGGAGACTTTTGGCAAGGAGAGCTGAGGCAAGTCTGCAACAAGACTGTTCCAAGCTTTGTGGGCTTGACTTATAATGGATTCCATGTGGTGACAAAAGAGCCAAGAAATGTTACCCCTACAATAAAATTCTGTAATAAACCTTTAAAAAGGAAAGCATTCAATTCCCCCCAATTACAATAACAAGGTAAAGGTTCTAGAATTCAGCAACAGTTATATGTTTAAGAATGAAATCATGAGGAACCTGTATAAGGAAACTTGGTGAAAACTTAGATGTCACTAAAATTCAGTACAGTGACATAGTTCATAGTTTTCAGGGCATATTTTGAAATATGAAAAGCAGCATAAATAAAAATATCAGTGGTAGCAACCAATGTTCCCTCTAAGCTGTGGAGTCCTGTGAGCAAAAATTCAACTTTGTGAGCTGCTGGCATTAAAGCTGTGAGTGAGCCATTTGGCTACTGCATAAATGAGTTTGCTCTGGAGCCATCCCTTCCTGAGCTAAGACAAGAAAGTGTGAGCCGGAGGCTACAAAACTGTGAGCCAGCTCACAGTAACTCGGCTTAGAGGGAACACTGGTAGCAACCAAGCTTACCATTCACCCACTTTGGGTGGGAGCCTCCTGGTGGATCGGTCCTTACATCGGCCTTGACTTTTGTCTGGCAGGAGAAATGTGGGGGGCGGTAATGATAAGAACATAAAGAGAAGCCAACGGATCAGGCCAATGGCCCATCCAGTCCAACACTCTGTCACACAGTGGCCAAAAATACCAGGTGCCATCAAGAAGTCCACCAGTGGGTAAAAACCTGGGCATGATGTCAGCCTGTCAAGTGATGCTCTGCAATTTCCCCCCAAACTATGTTGTATTGTCATAGAGTTTAGGGGGAAGTCCAGAGTGTCTCCTGACACACTGGCATCATTTCCATAACTTGCCCCCTTTCCAAAGCTGTCCTGATAGCCACAAACCTTTTATAATCATACTTCTGAAATCAACAGATTGAGTACTGACAGCAGCCGTTTTATACCTAATTCCTCCAGCCCCAAGGAAATTTCCTATTCAGCAGTTAGTTTAGGTGCAAATTGTATATGATAGCAATTCAGCATATGCAGAGGAGCTGTGTCTTTAAATATGTCTGATGTTAGGAACTTAAACGAGTTGTTATGCATAGTGGTCTTGTAAAAACAGATCAACTGCAATGACTCAAGACCTTTACTTATTCTCATAGTGTGCACTTTTTATAATCTTAGCATTTCTTGACCATGTTTATTGTTAAACCCGACAATGATTTCTGTGGCCCAAAACATGAAGCCTGTGCATTTGTGACTGTTACCAGTGGTGTTTTGCTAAAAAGGCACCTATCTTCATGTTTCTGTATTCCATAGTGTGTCAAAGTTCTTTCAGTTTTTCTCACATTGACAAGGACATTTTTCATCCCTGCATGTGATGAAAATATTGGCTGTTATCTTCAAGGTGTTCACAGTGTTTGCCAATTAAAGTAAAATGACCCTCGGTTACTACAGCACCAGTATCGCCTTACAGATCCTCCGTCTACAATTCCGGCACCAATGATTCGGAATGCCCCGAGTCACCTGAGGATCCTTCACTAAAGCCTACAGTGTCAGACAATCTGCCGATCTCTCCTTCGGAGGATCTTTCTTCGTAGGGTGATTTGGTCAAGAGGATGGCACACTCCCTGGGACTGTCGATAGTCCAACCCCAACCTTCAGTGTTAGATGCTGTCTTCGATGTCATACAGATCGAAACCTCCATGTTGATCGCCCTCCCGATTTTGACCGTCCTTATACAGGCAACGAAGGCTCCGTAGGATAAGCCATCTTCTGCTCCAGTGTCTTCCAGATGTCTGGATCATATGTATCGGGTCCAAGAGATGGAGGCTGAATTCCTCCATATCCACCCTAAGCCCAACTCTATAGTCGTGTCGCCCACCTCAAAGAGTAAATGTACCCTCGGTACTCCCTCTGATAAGGAGAGCAAGAAGTTGGATTCCGTTGGTTGTCGTTTCTACTCAGCTGGAGCTCTCGGAATTAAGATACCTAATTATATTGCTTGTATGGGCCGTTACCAGTACTCGCTCTGGGAGCACTTTACCGACCTTTTGACCTTGGTGCCTGAGGACAAACGTCAGGAGGCCAGGAAGCTGCAAAAGGAAGTCTTGCTGCTTTCTAAACTAATAATCAATTCTTCCAAACATGCTTTGGACACGTTTTCCAAAACAATGGCATCCGCAGTTGCCCTCCGTAGGGATTCCTAGCTTAGAACCACCTTGCTCCCTGCTGACACCAGGGCGTACATAGAGGACTTACCTTTCGATGGCCAAGGCCTCTTTCATGCGTCCAC